ACTGCCAGTGAGCTAAGAATGGTTTTTACATTTTTAAATAAAATTTTATTGTATTTAAAAATGTAAAAGCCATTCTTGGCTTTCACAAGAACAGGCAGTGGGCCAAATTTGACTCTTAGTCTTTAGTATGCCAAATCATCATATAGAGAAATCATGCAGATATATAAGAAGAAGAACCATTGCCCAATAAATTAATGGTCAGAGGTTATAAACAGGTAATTCTTTTTTTAAAATAAATGTATTTATTTATTTTTAGTTTTCAACATCCACTTCCATAAGTTTTTGAGTTCCAGATTTTCTCCCCATCTGTCCCCTCCCCTACCCCAAGATGGCATGTGAGTTGATATAGGCTCAACATACATATTCATAGTAAACCTATTTTCACATTAGTCATGTTGTAAAGAAGAATTAGAACCAATGGGAGAAACTACGAGAAAGAGAAAACAAAGGGAGAGAGAGAGTGAGAGTGAGAGAGAGAGAGAGAGAGAGAGAGAGAGAGAGAGAGAGAGAGAGAGAGAACAAATAATATGCTTCAATCTACATTCAGACTCCATAGTTCTTTTTCTGGATGTGCACAGAACAGCATTTTCCATCATGAGTCTTTTGGAGTTGTCTTAGATCCTAGAATTGCTAAGAAGAGATATCTATCAAAGGTAGTTATTGCATAATGTGACTCTTACTGTGTACAATGTTCTCCTGGTTCTACTCACTCCACTCAGCATCAGTCCATACAAGTCTTTCCAGGTTTTTCTGAAGTTCACCTGCTCATCATTTCTTATAGCACAATAGTGTTCCGTTACATTCACATATCACAACTTGTTCAGCCATTCCCCAACTGATGGGCATCCCCTCAATTTCCAATTCTTTGCCACCACAGAAAGAGCTGCTATAAATATTTTTTACACATAGATCCTTTTCCCATTTGTATGATCTCTTTGGGGTACAGACCTAGAAGTGGTATTGCTGGGTCAAAGGGTATGCACAGTTTTATAGCCTTTGTGCATAGTTCCAAATTGCTCTCCAGAATGGTAGGATCAGTTCACAACTCCACCAACAGTGCATTAGTTGAACAGGCAATTCTTAAAAGAAGAAAGATAAGCTAATAACAACCTTATGAAAAAATTATCCAAATCACTGGTGATAAGAAAAATATAAATTAAAACAACTCTGTAGTCCCATTTCACAATCTATCAGTATGACCAAAATGTATAAAAATGACAGTTGCTGGAAGACTTGTGGGAAGATTGACACACCAATGTGCTGTTGGTTCTGGAAAGTGATTTGGAACCATTACCTAAAAAGTCACTAAATTGTGTACACTCTTTGTGGCTAGCAACACCATCACTAGGCATATAACCTAAAGAAGTCAAAGGCAGAGGGAAAGGACCCATACATACAGAAATATTTAGAGCAACACTTTTTTTTTAAACTGTAGCAAAGAACAGGAAGGAAAAATGAGTGTTTATCAATTGACTGAACAAATTATATGAATACATATAATTGCTTAAGAAATTATAAAAAGGATATATTCAGAGAAACTAGAGAAGACTTCTATGACTTGATTCAGTGTAAATCGAGCAGAAGCACAATGATTTATAGAATGAATACAATATAACTTCAAAAGACTTAAGGACTCTGATCAATGCAATGACCAATCATGACACCAGAAGCCCATAGTTTCAACCATAGCCAACATATTGATTTGTCTTGTTTAACTTTACTTATTTGTTATAAAGGAAGGCTTGAGTTATAGAGGAGGAAGTAGACAGATACTGATGGCAATACCAAAAAAAGAGAAAGATAGAAAAGAAAAAGACATCAATGAAACATTTAAATATAAAGAAGAGAGCAGAAATAAGTTAAGAAGAATTGTCAATCAGGATAATTTTAGTATTATATTGTTAAATTTAATATAACCTTAAAAATAAACATAAATTCTACATAATAGACATGGATGTGTTAATGTGCAGTCATTTTTTTCCATTTTTCTCCCTATATTGACAAGATTTTGTTTGTAAATGTTTGTTAAGTTAATAATTAAAAAAAAGAGGGACAAATCAGTGGCTTTAAAAGTCCTTTCTAGCTCTAAATTGATTATAGTTCAGTTTCCAGTTTTCTTAGTTGTTTGTTTCAAATAGAGAGTTATTCCCACAGGTAATTTAGATTCTCTTTACCATGAGTTTGATCATTTCTTATTCTTCCTTTTCTATTCCATTCCACTGATTGACTTAAAAATTTTGTTTAACCAGTACCAAACAGTTTTGATGATTGATTACTGCTTTATAACAAAATTTAAGGCCTAGAAATACTATTCCCCTTTCACTTCTACTTTTAAAAATTATGCTCTTTGATGTTCTTTTTTTTTCTTTTCAGTGAGGCAATCAGGATTAAGTGACTTGCCCAGGGTCACACAGCTAGCAAGTGTCAAGTATGTGAGACCAGATTTGAACTCAGGTCCTTCTGACTCCAGGGCCAGTGCTTTATCTACTGCGACATCTAGCTGACCCTGTTCTTTGATATTCTGTATCTTTTGTAACTCCAAATGAATTTTGCATTATACTGGCATAGCACTAAATTTGTAAATTAATTTAGGACTATCATCATTTTTATTCTGTTGGTAACATAATTGGAAATATAACATTCTAATTATAAGCAGTGAATATCCCTTCAATTACCTAATTTTTAGAAGAGGGTTTTATAATTATTAGTGTATCTTGGTAGATGTTTTCCATATTTTGTGGTTATTTTACTTTGTCTTTCTACTACTTCTTTCTGGATTGTCTTATTGCTATATTGAAATGCTGATTATTTTTGTAGATATATTTTGTACCATTCTAATAATGTACTGTTACAAGTAATTACTGATTCTCTGAGGTTTTCTAAATGAATCATTCTATTATCAGCAAATACAGATAAGCCTTTTTACCATTGTTTATGCCTTTAATTTTTTTCTCTTGTCATTGCTACTGTTAGCATTTCTTAAATAAATCAGTCAATGCACATTTATTAAGCATTTGTTACTTGCCAAGGCATAGTGCTAAGTGTTGGGGGGGACCACTAAAACATATGTTAAATGGTCCCCGTAGAATTATGTCAAATATTAGTCCCCCAACATTATCTCAACTAACATTTTATGTACTCTATTCATTGATATGGCTTAATTAATCACTCAATTGGCCTTATTCTGAAGGTCATATTTCTTAAGAGAAAATATTAATAAAGCCAACACTATAGTTTCCCTCAAATTCAATTCTGACAGAAATCAGGCAAAATCCTGATTAATCTCTGGCCACAATTATTTTTTTCATTCTCTAAATTCCTATAGTACTTATGATTTATACCATATTATTTCTCACTTCATTATGCATTGCCTATGTGTACAATAAACTGGCTTCCTGCCCATGCATCCTTCTAAGTGGATTATTTTTAGCTACTCTGCAGCCTTTAGCTGCTAAGCAGATATATAAGACCTATAGATCCATAGTTGAGGTGTTTTGGTACTATCAGCCTTGCAGCTGATCTTACTCTCACTGGGTACAGTTCTTGTAATTAGGTTTTTGCCTCATCTGTTGTGATAGAGTCCACATGTGTCCTAATCCCAATAACTTAATAGCTACCTTTTTTCTTCCTTGCCTAACGTTGTCTTGGTATTCTGCCTCATATCTGAGTTTCAGTGGGATTGAATTCTGCCTTGAATTCTGATTTCCCAGAAAATAGAGCCCTAACCCCACAGCACAATGTGATGTTCTCTGCTATCAACTCTCCTTGCTTGTTACTACCTGGACATCATACTCTAGTTATCTGCCAGGGCAAAACTTGCTTCCTGTGACTAAAATTTCTCACACTAAATTCTTACTAATGCTTATTAGGTGAGTGAGTGAGTGATGTTTGACCATGGAAACCTATTGCCTAATGCCTTGCTTCTCTGATGTTTGATCGCCCTATTCAGATTTTGACCTACTACATACTTCACGAAAATTTTCAGTTCTCCTGTCTTGTCCTAAAAAATCTAGTTAGTGTTCAAGTTGTGGTCTCACACATTCCACCACCTACAGAGCCCCAGTAATGACAATTATTTCACATCAAGTCTCCCCGTATGTGGGTGTATGTGTGCACTCCCTCTCTGGTTCCCTCTCCTCCACATTTTTTTTTAAAAGCCTGGGCCTGTGATTTCATTAGTTTAAGGAACTCCTCTTGAGGAAATTTCTTCAACTAATGCAGATCTCAAATTTCTCTGCAACTTGTAGTCATAGATCTAGCTGGCAGTGACAATGGCAGTGAGAGATCAAGTGACTTGCCCAGGGTCATGTAGCATATGTCAGATTTTCTTAACCCAGTTCTTCTTGACTCTAAGGTCTGCTTCCCATCCACTAGGCCATTTTTTCTCTGTCTCTAACATACAAACACATACATATATATATACATATATATATATATAGATGCTTGTATTTATGTATATATGTCTACATATGCATATATATCTTTTCTCAGTAACTAGGGCAGCTAGATGGCACAGTAGATAAAAGTGCCAGGCCTGGAGTCAGGAAGACTCATCTTCCTGAGTTCAAATCTGGCCTCAGACAATTACTAGCTGTATGATCTTGGGCAAGTCATATAATACTGTTTACTTCAGTTTCCTCATTTATAAAATGAGCTGGGGAAGGAAATGGCAAACCACTCCAGTATCTTTGCCAAGAAAACCCAAACAACTGAACAACAGGATTCAAGAATCTTGAATATGGTTCTAACAATGAGGTAGTTTTTTTCTCCAAGAGCATTTAGCACAGCATTAATCTCAGAAAAAAAAGAACTTTATAATTGCATCCTCCATTGGCTGTTCTTTAATTGCTTTTAATTCTTAACTGTGATTCATTGATACATACTAAGCTATAACTAATTAAGGGGAAAACTACATCATGTTCCTTTTCCTAAAAATTTTAAATGACATATTTCTCCTGAGTCACAGCATAATTAGATAATATTTTTATTAGACTTTCTTTACAAATTCGAAATACTGCTATTTTTACATGCACAGAGGAAAATCAGTTTGAACAATTGTACTTAGGCATTCATTAAAATGAACCACAAATAGCAACACTTAATTGTGTCAGTTATCCACATAATTGATATGTATATCTAAAGTGCATTATGTTACAAAAAATAAAGTCAGCAGCACCAAGATACATTTACAAAATAAATACATTGTTCAAAAAATAAATTATGGTAAAACGTGATAATAATTGGCTTAGCCTGGGGGAAAAGAGAAAATTCACAATGACCAATGTGCCATTTCATTGAGCAATGGGGGAGGGGAACCATTTTATTCCAACGCATTTACAGTATTTACAGACAATAAATATTTTTAATACTTTCCATATGTTCACTATTACAGAATACTGCAATATGTTTTCTGAAGTCCTCAGCTGAAAATTTCAATGCCTCCTGCAAAGAAAAGGAAGGAAAGAAGGGAGAAATAGATTAATTCTCTTTACATACAAAATGATGGAACATGAAAAGTATAAAGTTAAAGGACATAACATAACAAGGTAAAAAAGATATTTTATCTCTTAAATATTTCCTCCAAAGGAGCTAAGGAACAGCATTGAGTGGAGTAGAATCCAAATATCTCTTTAGAATGTCTTTTGCACACATAGTTTGGGGACAGACAAAGCAGTAGGAAAGTTTGTAGCAGACCACCTTAAAATAACTGAGCCCCTAAAAACTAAAGCTACAGTCTATATAAAAAATTATCACAAGGAAAAGATTGCTGTATTTCTGCTAAGGCTGTCAGAAAAAGGATGTTCTCTGAAGACTTACAGGGAACTTCTAGGTGATAAGGATGGAGGAAGAAAGAAAAAAAATGAGAGAACTTGGAAGTGACGTAGAAGTGGAAAATATGTCATCTAAACCCCCTGGCTTTAGACAAAGCTTCAGGCAGGTTTCTTTCCTCTGTGACTCCTGCTATTGAGTGATTCAAATGTTGACTGTTTTTGCTCAGTTTTTCTCCTGATACTGTCTCTTTTGGCCTACCCTTTTGTCAATGAAAATGGATTGCTTAGGCTGGAGCGAAAATTTTTGACATTCATTGATTTACTGAATTCAGTTTTATATTGTGTTATATATATGAATAATACTTAAACACAGAGTTATTTATTAATGATTTGGGGGAGAGACAAAGGATTCATCTTTAGCTGTACTTAAAACACTAATGAACAAACTTATTATTGGATTATAGTTTTGGAAATGAAAATTACAAATGATTGTAACTTTAAAGCCAAAAAAGACTGAGATTGAGGCATCTCTCTGCCTGTTTCTTCTAGGCAATGAATATTAATTTAGGAATGAAGGAAAACCCCACTGAAATTTAGGGGATAAAGTGAACTGACTTTTAAAAAAATAGTAGCATGCTACTTCCTTGTGTGTCTTTTATTACTTGTATTAAGTTAACACTTGGTATTGAGAACCTTTAATCACTCTGGTCTGGTCAATATTTTTAAGAGTGTATAGCAAAAACTTTCCCTGTCTTCCTGTCTCCCCTTTCCCTCTTGGCCTACTTCATTTCAGTTACTGTGTTGGTTGCTAGGGAAATAATATAGAATGGAATTTGATTGGCTGTGCCATTGGATTGACTGCCAGGATTGTGGGCAAAGTTTCACATGGCAGACATGTGGGTGTGAGACACACAAAAAGAGCAAATTCTTGACAATTTAGGGGTTTTATTTGTTGTATGAGGCAAAAGGCATACTGGACATTTAGAGAAGTTTTATTGCGAGTCCCAACTTGGCCACTTACTACCTCTGTGATCGTGGGCAAATCACTCACTTCTCTGAGCTTCAGTTTTGCTTCTCTGTAAGAAGAGGAGATCGAAATAGATAACTGCTTTCTAGCACTAAGGCAATGAATGATACCATGACCCTTTGAATATGACCTATGAACAAGCATTCCTAATTATACTGGGATTGTTCCAAAATGCAGAGAAGACAGGATACAGATAACAATTTTGACCAAAAAGTGGGTACATACATATATTATGAGTAAAGTCAGGAAGATGACTGAAAGAGGGAATAATTTCATAGAATCCCAGTCCCTCTATCTCAGAGTTGAAGGGATTTTAGTCTGTCTAGTCTAGTTCAACTTTTGCTTAAACAAGATTTCTTTCTAAAACATTTCCCAAGTGTTGCCATTGAGCTTGAAGATTTCTAGTGAAGGGGAACCAATTGTGTTCAAAACCAAGTCACTTTGAAAAGTCTTCAATGTTAGGTAGTATTTGATGAAATGTGTTGAGAACATTATCAGTAAGAATAAAGACTGAATATTGAATATTCCTTCCAAATCAAAATGAAAGGACCAAAACCAACTTTTAAAATACTTTTAAAAATGCTCAGCTAATTTGCTCATTTTCTTTGCCTGTGATTTCACCTGTAGCATATGCACACACCCAAATAGGGAGCATCTAAGTAAACAATCCATGTGTACAGTGAGCAGGTGTATTTTATTACAAATATGTACATACAAACACACTATAGTTCTGAGCTCTCTTATTTATTGAGGAACTCTGCTATATTATTTGTCTTTTTGTGAATAAATATTTATGAGACAAAAGATATCTGATTTAAAGTTATAATTAAAATGTTTTTCTGAATTCTGACATTTCAGCCAGATGTCAGATCAAAAACATGATCATAATGTAATTCTTAGAAAGTAAAGCAATACATTTCCTACTGTGCATGCCATATGAAAGAAAACAAAAAAAATTAGCTGGATAATTTTTAAAAGACAAAAACTCTACAGATGTTATAAAGTGTTATAAAGCTTATGACTTTACTATTTCTTACTTTTTCCATTCTCAGACAATTTTGTTAATAATGTCATCCCCCCCCACAAAAAAAAGGACAGGGCAATAAGAAATGGCTAGATGTCTCTTCCCCTTGGTGGTCTTGTGTATAGTTTTCTAAAATGCTTGTATCTGCAAAAATTTTTTATTTGGCTTATCTCAATACGGAGAAAGAACATAAAATACATTTACATTCCTTAAATATAAGCTGAAGAGATATAGCTGCCAAACAAATTTTATATGGCTTATTATTCCATCTACTTAAAAAATTTGTATGGTTCTATCCATTTTTACTAATGATACTTCTTTACCCTGCTACCCAATCCACTTTCTTCTACAGTTTGTCATAATACTACATTAAGAGAATATAAGTATCTGGCTGCAACATGAAAAATATAGTCCCATGAGGCTTCTAACAATAAGAGAATAGAAAGAAGAAACAGATATTTCTTTTTAGCCCATTAGGCATTGGATTGACTGCCAATCCTGTGGGCAAAGTTTCACATGGCAGACATGTGTGGGTGTGAGACCTAATTGCATTAGGCCAATGTCTAATTTTCACTTGATCTACTCTGGTTTCTTTTGGGCCGTTGGTACAAGAACTGGTGCTTATTTTCATAATTTATCTAGACACTCAAGGGCACTGAAAACTTAAACTGTCAGCCAATAAAATCCATAATAAAGTATTTATGTTGCCTTTTTCAGATCTCCAGCATATGTAGAAGTAAGAAAATAGAAATGGAACCTAATAATAAAATTTACTGGTTTTCATTACTTACTTTCATGCATATGTACATGTAGGAATGTATCTTAAAACATCCTGAAGATATTTACTAATTATCAGCAAATGATCTAAGATATATAGGCCTCACTGTAACTTACAGATGCATTCAGTATCTATGCTAGGTCATTCATTGAATCCAAGCGGTCTTCAGTGATGTCATCACTCTTTAAGCTATCCTAATAACACCAAATAACTTGACATCTGATATGATATACACACTAAATTTTAGTCAATTAACTCAGGAAGTGATGCTGATTATCAAGTTCAGAATTGCCTAAAAACAAATCATTCAATATTACTATCTGCCAGAGAACTGGGAAAAGATTGGTGGGATGGAGGGGGAGTATTGAATGGTAAGAAATCATTGGTTGCATCTGATGTGTTCTTGTGTTGTTTTCATCTGTCTTTCAAACCCCATAGGTTTTCTGTACTGAAAAGTAAAAAAAAAATCCTATCAGTGGAAAAGTATGTATAGGAAGGTATTGTTGTCTAATGGATAGAGCACTGGATTGAAAGTCAGAAGACTTCGGCATAAAGTCCAAGTCCAAATTCAAATTGTGATCTTGGGCAAGTCACTGAAGTACTCTGTGACTTAGCTTTTCCCTTTGTAAAATGGGGTTGATATTTGGCACTCTTCTGACTTACAAAAACATTTTTATGACAAATGTAATCATAAGTAGATATCAAAAGTACTGTTAGCATTTAGGATAAAATTTGCCATAAGAGGTCATAGTAATATTATCATCATCAGTAATATTCCCTTTCTTCTAATAGTGTGCTTTTGATGGGCCATTGGAACTCATGATATCATGATATATGGGAAATGTACATTCTTTGAAAGCCAATAAACAAAATTTTTCTTGGTAGTCATGTTCCATAGTAGAGTATAAGTTCCTCAAGGGAAGACTGTTTAGTTTTTGTCCTGAATCCTAGTGTCTAACACAGTGCCTGGAACACTAAATGCTTGTTGAAGTAAATTGAATTGAATTTCTGATCATAAAGATAAAACTGAATTAAAATGTTAAAGACTTGGAAATATTTACAGTTTGCCCATAAATTGTTTTACATATATAATACAATTGAACACATATAATACACACACAATATAATATGTATTATATATATATATACAATACAATATTGTACACTTACAATATAATATGTATTGTTCTGTAGTGTTTATAGATACTGGGAAAGCAGAAACTCTCCTAATTTTTCCTTAAGATGAAAAGAGTATAATTAAAAAGTCTATAACATTTGAACATTGATTTGTTTTATATTACAGTAATAGCCACTAACTTCTCTGAAGCTCAATTAATATTCAAACTTAGTATTGGCCAACTTAGCCTGGGAAGAGACAACATGGTATAATGGCTAGAGAGTTGCCCATAAAGACCTGGATTCAAGTCTTACTCTTTACCCATACTGGCTCTGTGACCCTGGACAACTCACTTAACCTCTGAATGTTCCTTCTCTAACCCTCTAAGTTGTAAAGAAAGTACTGTAAGGTAAAGTACTGAAAGTAAAGAAAATACTTATATTGGTAGGTGTTTATTTACCTGGAAGTTCCCTTTATCAGTGAATTCACAAGTCTAGTCCCTATTTAAATTGGGAAAATATGTTTAGAAGGGTTGGGAATCTCCAATTACTTTAGCAGGGTTCTGACAGAATAGCATAAGAGATCACAAAAAGTATTGCTCCAGGGCGGACTATATTCTCATCTTTCTTGTGATTTATGTATCATAACAATAGGGAGAAAGTTCAAGAACTTATGTGAACTGGAGGGAGAATGTATACAGTATCTCAGTGTTGAAGGCCGGGCAACAGGCCTGGAAAAGTTTAATTACCGTAAGTTGAGATCCAGCGTAGTCTCAGAGATGTCTGATAGGTGAAGCCCTTCAACCCCACTACCAGCTACTCCAGAGTTTAACCAAGCTGATCGAGTTCGCCGTTTTTTCTTTTCCTGTTCCTTGCGTTTCCCTGGCTTGCCTTTCTTTTTCTTGTTAGATGTCCTCAGTGGCTGCTCTTTATATGTCTGTGCCTTGTTGGTCTCCTGAGTTAGGTACTTCCCCTCATCTTCACTTCCAAACCGGACAGGGTAGTTCTTTGTGTTAGTAGCAGGCTTGGGGTTAGGAGAAACCTCTAAGGTAGCTCGGATTTCAGCTGTGTTAATGCCTTCAATCAAATTTTGAAGAAAGATTCTTCGTCGTAAATCTTGAATAACCTTCCCTTTGTCATGGAGGAACTGGTGCTCTGATACAGCTCTTTTGCTAACAACAAAAAACAAAAAACAAAAAACAAAACAAACAAAACAAAAACCCAAAAGTTGGGGAGAGGAAGTGGGGAAAATTACAATTTAGTTACTACTAGATGTCTTGATTCTACTAATTTTCCACTTTGCACATTACAAAGAGGATTGTAACAGCAGAACCACTTAGAATAACTATTTCTAAAGATAAGGAGAGTAGAATCAGAAAAGAAATAATGTTTGACTAACTCAGCATGAATCATTAGGTTTGTATCTGTTCTTTTCAGGGTTCTATAGGAGGAAACCCCTTATAATAATTCCTGGAATAAGTCAATAAACCTGAGATGAGCAATGTAGAAGTAGCTTCTGGTCCTTTTTAAGCACATCTCCCTCATCTCACACACTGACTATAGGATCCCAAACTTAGAAGCGATTTCCTCCCCTTCACTCCTTTTGCAGTCCAGTTAACCTGCCTTCTTGCCTCACACTCAATGGTCCATCTTTTGTCTCTGTGTCTGTAATGCTTTCCTTTTGCACCTCTGCCTCTAAGAATTGCTAATAACTTTCAAAGCTCAGCTTAAATATCACTTCCTCTATAAGGCATTTCTTAATACCATCCCTTATGTACTGTCTATATTTTGTTATGTATTATATATTTACCTATTATCTCCTCTGAAGAAAAATGTAAGTTTCTTAAAGTCAGGGACTAAACTTTCATTTTTGTCTTTGTATTCCCAGAATGCCTAGCGCATAGTGGACACTTAATAAATGTTGATTGGTTGGATACCAGATGAACTATACCAGCTCTTCCTACTCCCACTCAAAACATGAATCTCCTCTACATTAACACTGACAGGTAGTCATTCAGCAAACTTGAAAACCTCTAGTAATGAAAAATTCACTATCTCCCAAGGCAGCTGCTATGAGGGACAATCTGTACAAATCAATGAAGGTGGGAAATGGAGTGTTCCCTTTTCAAATAACTGGTTAGTGGATTTTTTTAAAATACCGAAGTGAAGTCTAGCTCTGTAACTTCTAATTCTGTCATTGGATTTGGGGCCATAAAGAACAGATTTAATTTGTCTTCCACATGACAACATTTCAAATATTCAAAGAAAAGCAAAGCAGTCAGTCAGTTAACTAGCAGGCACCAATGTATGTAGTTTAAATATAATTCTGCTATTTAAAAAAATATACATCAAGTAACAGAAGTGAGTGCTCCTTTGAATATGAGGAATCAAACTTTCTACTGTCTTTGCTTGCCTTGCAATATTTCTCTGCAGGCAATAAATTCCTTGATGTACCCACTGATGGTGTTTTTTTTTTAAAGTACAGTTCATCAAATGCTATCTAATATGTATAATATCACTTTAATTCAAAGATAATGAAAAAGATAAAGGTGGAGGGAGTTGAGAATTTTCTATAGGGGATGTTTGTTTATTTTTAAAACTTCACCTGTAAAGATATATTGGTGTGATCTGACAGATTTCTGGCCATGAGGGCACATTGTATCTTTACTAGGACTTTCATATTTCCTCTCTATTCCTGCTTATCTCATTTCCTACAAAGTTCTTTTAAATGATCTCCAGTCTCTTACACAAATTTCTTTATCTCTTCCTTTTCTTACCCCACTCCTCTACTCTATGTGCCAGTTATTAAAGTTATTCTGAGGTTACTTAGGTGAACTTTTAGTTTACTCAGCCATATTTTCAATTATATACCTTTCAGAGAAAACTTCCTCCATTTCCATCTTTTCCTAAACCCTACTATGTTTACTGTGATCCAGCCTCCATATGCAGGTTGGAGAACTAGGTTTGTTGCCTTCAAAAAGGATAAGAATAAATAAAATTCTGAGGGGTAAAGGTAAATAATATCTAGAGAACCATAAGAAGAGATTCTAGAACATTAGAATGATCATTAAACATGGGCTAATCTCAAACACATCTGAAGAAAATTGGAAGGGCTATTCCCTAAATATCCTGACATCTATCTGTGGTAGCACTGTATCCATACTCACTATGACTCCCAGTGTAACACTTTCCCCTCACAGGAATGAAAATAGTTTCCATTTCCTCACCCTTTTTTTCTCTTTACAAAGTTAAAGCATCCCTTAGTTTGGTTCCTGGGAGGAGGAAATAAGAGTAACATAAAGACTAGCTGGAGCCATTGCAACAGTGAGGAGAGCAATCTAGACCTCTGGCATCTGGAGCATAGGCATCATTTCATGACCTAGAGATATTATTATTGCTATTGTTACCTATCTCTTCATCACAAAACAAATAACTACGGTTCCTAGAGTTTTTCTCTGGAAGAGAGGTGCTTGTTTAGTAACTTTCTAAGTGAAAGTACACAATGAGATTTTAGATTTTAATGGTAATTTCTGTGGATATTATGCTTAACATTCAAACTACCCTCGTGTATTTTAAAGTGCTGACTGACTTGAAGACATTACTTAATGGAAAGGAATTTAAAAGGAGCCTGATTCAAATGAACCATGCAGTAGTCTCTTTTGCTTTTTGAAGGTGCCACATGTGACTTGATTAAAATTCACTTAGTCCATGGGATCTTTTAATATCTTGGAAACTTTTAGTAATCTGCATACTTGAACATTAGTTATATTATGACTACATCTTCTAAGTGCAGCAGCTTTGTATTTTTCTTTCAAAAATAGTTCTAATGTAATTACATATCTCATAGTTATTGCAATTTAGAAAGCATCCTTTGGCAAAATGCCAAACACATAAGCACAAAAGTATCTCAGCCATTAATCATTCATAACATATTCTGGATTATTTCACTCTTTTTGTCACTCCAACAGAAGCTCATTTCATCTCTCCTGCTCTCCAGTTTTATGACACAGACCAGTCCATTCTATTAGCTACAAGCTAACTTTTAAAAGCAGTTGGTTTCTTCTAATCAAATCAGTTTTGCTCATGCCCATTTCACTGGCATATAGTGCTTCTGTCATATGTGAGTCACATAGCTTTCCTAACTTAAGCTCCAGACTTTCCCAGGATACTTCTCATGGGAAATGCAGTTATCATTCTAACCTTCTACTTTATAAAAAGCATTCAGATTAGTATGACTTTGCTCAGTTTAAAATCGTATGTCTCTTGCAAGGAGCAAAGTTTTCCTTTTGTCTTTGACAAAATTATTAGTAGCTAATTGTGATCTTCAGAGACAATGCCGTCAGGTAGTTCACCTAGTGTTTCAAGGACTTTAGCCTTGAAAATGTGCCTAAAAATAAAAATGATCATCAGAACTCCCCCCCCCCCACTAGATTTTGCCTCAGGCATATGAATTAAGTTCTAGTCCTCTTTTATAGTAAGTAAATGACTTGCCTTTTAAAAGATGTGTACTTATACATTGTTGGGGAAGAATAAGGAAGAATGGAGGAGCTTTCCATTTCAATAGCTATATAATATTTGAGAGCCATATCTGTCTCCCAATAACACTCTGGCATTCTATATTTCCATACAAGTTTGCATAGTTTTATGTTTCATATGACATTTATTATTCAGGGTTTAATATTAAAAAAAAAACAACAAATCCTTACCATAATATGCTTCATTGTTTTCCTTAAACATTACATTTTTTTTTACAAAAATATAGGAAAGAATTCTTGACAAAGGTACCTCTCCACATTTATCTGGGCCACTGCCCTGCTTTAATTCAGAGGGAAATATCTTTCTGGGTGAATTATCATGGAAATACATTAAATTTCTAAAGAACTGTCAAGAAGTACAGAGAGTAAACAATGTGATAGAAATTTTTTTCTTAAGCACAGAATGAAGCGGGCCACTGGAGCAGAAGCTTGGCTCTTAAGGAAACATGGAGAAGAAAAGTTCTGTGGTCCATGGAAGAGACAGGGTTAGGGTGTTAGAATTAGGATGACTCACTAAAAGTCCCTTCCAACTCAAATGACTCAGTCAAAAGTAATGTTTTTTATTAAGTGCAATAGACCAAGTCTCACTCCAAAGCAAATGCAGCCAATGATGTTTTAAGTTTACAAATATACTGGAGAGAGTCCCTTTACAGTTTGAATGCAAAAGGTACCCATCTGCTTGCCCAGAGTATTTTAACTTAGAATAATCTGCTGCTTGCATCTCGGTCTTTGTCTCATTCATCCTCTTGCCTCATTAAATATTTGTTTTTCAGTCAGGACCTGCAATTTCAACAGTGTAGAGCAACTTCTAGTACAGAAATTTTGACTAACACTGCAGTTGGGTAACTTTTCTACAATTTACAGTCTTGGAGAGTCACCTGGGGGTATTAAGAGGTTAAACTGCTTGACCATAGTCACATAGTATATGTCAGAGGCAGAATTTGAACCCACATGTTCCTAATATTAAAATTGGCCCTCTATTCATTAATGGATACTACCTTTCTCTCTCTCTCTCATTAAATATATTTTATATCAAATCCCCAAACTCCAGAACTTGCAACATTTCTAATCTTTTCCTTTTCACCTGCTTTAGGAAGTTTTGCTAAGTTCTGTTTTGTTATACAACTGCCCACTATATTTTAAAAGCAATACTTCTATGTCTTAACACCCTAAAGTATTAAGGGATTTCTAAGGGGTACTGAAATATTTATGTAGTTGAGGTTAAGCAGTTTTCCTAGAATTTGGTTTGAAGAGTGATTGGGGAATAATATGGCTTGATTATATGTTAATAAAAGTTCCTTCAAGAAATTGACTTATTTCATATTTTTAATAGACTCATGTTTTGTCTAACATGAAGTTGACTGTTACTTGGTGACACTGCAGATCTAATGACTTGTTTTTAACTCCATCTGGCAGTAGTAATTTGGTGTAATATTTTTGTCTACTGATGATTTAAGCTTCCATGAAAAAGCCTGGCTGTAATGTAATGTGATGATTAATCATTGACTAAAGCAATGTTTTGTGGTAGTTTTATAACTGTCTACAGAGTGTGAGTATTTAAGTATGAGATTTTGTTTCACCCACAAACAAAACTGTAACAGTGTTACTGGCTGCTAACTGATTTCTGATGTATTTTGCATATTATGGCCAAAAAAGAGTTAAAATAGCATTGAAAAAAAAACAGCACAATTTTCTGCAGTAATTGTGGAGAGGGAGAAGCAATCATGATTCACAAGTGGTTCCTCAAAACAGAAAACAGATATTTCTTATAAAACTTTAAAGAAAAAAAATTGGCTCCATTCCAATTCAGTGTTTCTTGGCCCAGGTGACTCTACAAGACTGTAAATTGTATTAATTGTGTGTCACATTTTCTTATTTACATACACCTAAACATAACTTCTCTTTATGCCCAAACTGAACAAAGTTTCGAACTCAAGAAAAAAAAAATCTGAAGACAATTTTCAGAAATGCACCAGTAAAACTGTTAATTTGAAGAAAACAATGTAGCTTTATCTTTAGTACAATGTTCTACACGATTTGCCTTAGGAGATTCATAATAGATTTTCATTTTAGTGCCAAGGTTCAGACAGGTCTAAAGTAATTTCATTTAGGAATTTTCTATTCGAATAAAAATAATAACTATTTATAAAATAATAAAACAAGGAAACATATGAAACAGTTGCTTTTGTGGATTCCCTGGAGAAATGACAAGTAAACCCTACTGAACAGTGGTTGTAAATATTGGATATGACTACCCTTAATGTGTAGGTTTCCCCCATTAATTCCCTCTCCAGAGTCTCATTCTCTTTGCAGTTTCAAACAAAACTTTTGTAGTACTTTGGATGTTATTTCACCTGGGAGTTCACTATACAATTAAAATGACTGCACAAAGAACATGAAGCACACATTCAAATTCAATCTTTTTCCTTTGTGATCAGATTAGTTACTGATCTGGGCCCCTCTTCTAAATTTTCAGTAACATGCTTTTAATTGAAGTGATGCTATTTCTCTAGTGTGGGTGGTGGATGGCTGATTATTTTGGATCCAAAGTTCATCCTTAGAAGATCTCCAAAGGAGAGGGCTATCCAAGTCCTTCAGCAGACAGCATCAAATATATGATTTCACTTGAAAAAATATTTCAAAGTGGCAATAATCCAAAGAAAAAGCGTTCTACACTTAATGTTCATTATAGAACTAATCACCATAACCTTTTTGGAGTTTCTTTGAATTTTGCCAGTGAGAAGTTTTAATTATTTTAAATAAAATTTTGTCATTATTTTGCATGGTTATGCCATTCATAATTAATATACATATTTTTATGATTCTTAAACACATGCATATATGTAGATATAAGAAGGCACATGTTTACTTCCCTCATACTTCTTATGCTTCCTCTAGTTTATCCCATTCTCTAACAGTTCTCAGATATTAAAATGAGACCCTTACTATCCACTAAGGGAAAGAATTAGGAGATTAGGTTAAAAAAACTACCTTTCATAGAAATCCTATTTAAAAAATTCTGAGTCTCAACCTGTTATTAAGTCCATTTCATAGGCTTGGTCTCAACTAGCAGGCTTCAGCAGGTAGCCTGAAACTCATCCTGTTCAAAACTGAAGTGGATAGCAACATTCACACATCAGTGGAAAGTTGGGAGAATTCCTGGAGCCCTACTACTGCCAGCTCCAAGGCGGCCACAAACTTTCCCTTCTCATCCCGCTCCGTATTTGTCCAGGAATCACACAAGAAGAGAAGAGAAACTTACAGTCGGCGGCTGAGCCCCTCCACCGATCTCCCACAAGAGGGAACTGAGTAACTCAGCAGAAACACCGCAAAGCTCCATTGCTGAAACAATCTCCTGAACATTGTATCTCCTTGGTCTCGGAACCTGCAACGAAATGAAAAAAAGAAAAAAAAGGAAAAAAGGAAAGAAAAAAATGGGTCCAAAGTGTCACTTCGTACTCCCTCCACTTCACTTTCTTTAAAAAAAAAAAAAGAAAGAAAGAAAGAAAAAAAAGAAAAAGCCTCTTTTACATTAAGGGCATCTCCAAAGTTGTAAAAGGAAAGTGTTCTCTAGCACCTCTTTGAGCACTCACTTCTTTAGAAATCAGCTCCTCCAACTGGGATCGTGCACGCGCGCGCGCGTACAGACACGAGCGCACACACACACACACACACACACAACACAACACACACACACAGGCAAATCGGAGACACTTCTTCTGAAACAACGACAGTGAAATAGTTTATATATGCATCAGGGCAAGGAGTGTGTTTACATGTCTCCCATAGCAATGCTTAATTAATCTGGCAAACAGCTCTCTCATGGGTCTAAGGAGCTAGGCAAGCCCCCCCCCCCCTTTTTTAGGGGAAGAAAAGTTCCCCAGATAAGTCAGCCTCCCTGAACGTCTGAAGGACCAGACCTCTCGTTTGAGAGACACAAGTAGACACACACACACACACACACACACACGTTTATATACCTCCTTGGATGCAGTGTTCAGACAGAAAGTCGATTCCACACACACTTTTGGAAAAGGCGTATGTCGTCCTCTATATCTAGAGAGCCGGGTTGCAGACGGATTTAAAAAGCAGCTGAGGCAGCGGCGGAGGCAGGCAATATAGGCAGTGGCGGCGGCAGCGGCAGCTGCAATGATGGGGTCCGCTCTAGAAGCTGGAAAGCATGCTTTAGTTGTGCAGGTTGGAGCAGGGCTAGAAGCTGAACTGGGACTGGAATGTTCACACGCTCTGGAGGCAAAACCTGCTGGAGAAGTGAGCGACTCGCAAAGAGGTGGCGCCCTAGGAACATGTGCTGGGAGAAAGCAAGCCTAGAGCACAGATGAAGGGGGGGAGGGTTGGGGGGTGGGGGGAGGGGGTAGGAAGGAGCAGGCTGTGGATTGTGAGAGAGCTAGAGACAAGGACAGAGACAGAGAGACATGGAAAGGGACAGGAGAGGGAGAAATAAAGGAGAGGGAGAGCACAAATAGGCAGGCAGGCAGACAGACCCACGCGCAAAGGCACATATATATGCTTAATCCTCTAAAAGTCTCTCCGATTTTAGGACTCCAAGATGGTCTAGGGGGCTCGGAGGCAAAGAGAAAGAGGAGGGATGAAAGAAGGGGTAACTCTCGGTTCCTCCCGTCTTAGGCTGGGGGTGGGGTAGGTGAGGGTATCATTTTAAGTTCCTTTGGGAAACTTCATTCCCTAGAGGTAGGAGGTAATTTGAATACAGTCACCTTCAGGTGTGGCGCTAAGGCGCCCCCCCCCCCCCCCAGTCTTCTCCTTTTTTCCTTCTCAGGCCCTGCAGAGTCCAGTGCCCTACCACAAGGGCGATGCTTCTGATAGCGCACTCCGGAGGAGAGGAGCAAGGATGGATTAGAGGGGGTTGGAGTAAACCTCTGGGGAACCAGCAACATCAGGTTCCAGAAAGTTTTACTATCTTCTTTAGGCTCTAGCTTTTCAGGCATTAGCAGGTAAGTCTCCCTGCCTCTCCCGCCCCGCCCCCCGCCCCCCGCCCCCAATGAGTTTGCTAGGAAGCGTACAGGGCTGAGGGGACTAGGGGAGAGTGGAGAAGCCTCCATTTATACTAGAAAAACGGTTTCAGCCTTCAGGCTGAGATAGAATTTCTAGCTGTTTCTGCCCAGAGAACAGCTGGGGACATCTGGATCTGGTCCAAGAAACTTCGTGCAAACTTTATTTCTCCGCTGAAGGGGTGACATTCTCGTTAGTGTGCTCAGTTCACCATCACCCCCCAACAACAATAATGTCCCCCACCCTTTTCCCAGTTACCCTAACACTACTCCCACCCTCGCCCGGCACTACAAACCCTACTTCCAAAAAAAAAAAATGTATCCTGAAATAACTGAATCAAAAGACCTCTTCAGTTCAACAAACGCAATTCGACAACCTTTCTATAAAGTTATCCTCTCGGGGAAATCAGAGGAAAGCAGAAGTGTTTTTCTCAAAGAGCATCTTCGGATCGAGTTAACTATGGAAGAACAACAACTTTATGTATTTAATCGCCAGTAAATTATGGACATCCTGGACCTATATCTATCTTTTGAAGTGAATGTAATTCATTGGAATCATTCAAGGATGTCTATAATCTTTTAAAAGATCAACAGTAGTATTCTCTGAAAACCCGAAATGATGCTGAGGTTTGAAATGATTATGAGATGGAGGTGTCAGGATCAGTCACTATTCACCATTCACATCCACTCCTTGCCTAGATAGTTTTTGTTCTACACAAGTTTGCACGGGATGAACATTACTTTTCTTGTTTTCCCTTCTCCACTTGAACTCCTTTATTATTTAAAATACTAATTTTGCTGCTTTAAAACCACCCTTTGGGAATCTCCACAATTTTCATGAAAGATTAAAGCAATCAAAGCACACATTTTCCTGTGGCAGGCAGGGGGAGAGACAATATTCAGATCTACAGAGGGATCTATCATTTAATCAAACTACTGACACCTGACAATTTCTTTCCAAACAGATTGACAAGCCTTAACATAACCCTTAGAATCTATGAAAAGCAAATTACAAACAAATCACTTTATACTTGTGAACTGTCTTAAATTAACATTATTATATTTACTCCTACAACAATACAACTTCTACAACAATAAACCAAAGCACTTAGCCAAATTTAAAACTACATAAGCAAAATAAGTAAACAAAACCCTGAAGAAGGATGATTGAAATTCAAATCAGATAGGAAACATTAACTCATTTATGTTGTAAACAAATTCACTATACAAAAACACTCACTACTCCTTAATTTAAGAAGTATTATCAATAAACTTTGATTTATGCTGATTTTTCAACTAATTAAAAATTTACCTCCTTCCCTTCTCCTTTTGCTTTACCCGCACACTCCTTACTGGTGTTAATGGCAACACATATATCAAATATTTTTAGAATTTCCTCTCTTTCACAAAAAGAAAAAAATATACCCAGGAAAAATAAATAGTCTTTATATACTTGAAATACTGAAGTTTCCTTATAATTTATTACTTCACCTTTTCCTTGATTTACAGTCTTCTCTGCCTTTCTGGTCAAATGAGGGAGATTCAGCAGTCTCTTCCAAAAGTATTTTTTTTCTACTTTAGAAAAATGAAATCAAGTTTCAGATGAATTAGAATAAACAAATCTTACATACTTTTCCTATAAGGAAACTTTCTTGCTCCCACCAAAGGAAGTTCTGGCAAAGTAGGTGCCTTCTCCTAAGCTTCCCTTTTTTATTATCTTGCAGTAGAAGATTCTTCTCTTAATATATAGACTGGGACATTCTGTTTTCCCCCTCCCCCTTTTGGAAAGAATACAGTGACATCATAATCCACCTTCCATTTAGCTGAGTAACCATGGGTGATTCTCAGACACTGACTAAACAGAAACATTAGGTATAATTCACCTCCCTTTACCCCCCCCTTCTTAAGTTTGAGAAAGGAACAAGAGCCAATAATGGTCAGATGTTTGCTTATGACTTACTATCACATAAGTTCAACCTAGCAAAACAGAAGATTTGAGAGCTTGCATTTAACTAGAACTACTTCCATGCAAAGACAACTTGGCATTCAGTGAATGATCTACACCTACACGAATACCTAGCACATGAGCAAGCTCCAGCTCTCCCATCTTCTTATATCCAGTGGCAGTTCTATAATCAAGCTGTACATTGGAAGAGGTTCCCTACATTTGTTTCATCTTACATCAAATTAAGATAGAAATATTTGACACTCTCTGAAGACGACTGCTTTAGTATTAAAAAAAAAAACTTTCCTTAGTTTCAGTTTCTTGTATTTCTTCTTCCCTCACCTGCCCCTCTCACCCCAAAAGTAATAGCAGGAACAACAAACACAACATGACCCTGTCATTCTTGAAAAGGTGTATTCAGATTCAGAAATGACAATTTTACCTGTCAATCTATAGCTTCTACATAGTGATATAGAAGGTCTTTGGGAAATACTATATCCACAACAAAACCTAAACTACTAAACTCGTTTTTGTTTTTTTTTTTTTTTTTGCCCAACATTTCCTGTAGTTCTTTTGGAGTCTTTTTGAGCCATCTTTGTTTACTCAAAATGACATTTTGGTTTGATTTGTAAAAGGTAGTATGATTGATTTTCCAGGCTGAGGTTGTAGATCAGCTGAAAATGGTTAGTTGTATTCAAAATAGCAAATAGGCAATGTGATTTTTTTTTAAAGCAACCTGGTATATAAGAGAAAGAAGTTACCTAACTATTGAATTGCACAAAAATTAGAAGAGTAAATATTCAAGAATAGGGCGCTCTCTCTCTCTCTCTCTCTCTCTCTCTCTCCCCCCCCCCCCGTGTGTGTGAGTGAGTGTGTGTGTGTGTGTGTGTGTTTGCGTAAGACCTGCTTTTTTAACATCAGGAGAAAATGCCTTAGGTGTTGAATAGGGCTTAGATGACTTCCAGATTAACTGAAAATTGTGTGAGGAATTCCTTATCTTTTTTCTTTGTCTCTCTCTTAGATCTTAACAGTCTTTTAGCAGTTTCCATTCTATGCAGATAAGCAGCTTACATGGTAAATTTCCACTGAACTCTCCAAGCTAAGGTGAAGATGAGACACTCTTTAGGAAATGGAAGGCATTAGTAACTGCTCTTCCAAACCCCAACACTTTCCAAAACTTTAACCATCAAAGCATCTCCTGTAGTCTTGAGTTATTATCCTTGTGTATGCATGTGTGTGTAGAGTGTTTCCATGTCAGAGACGATTAACTTCTGGAAGACTGCCCATCAGTAATCACCCTTGGCTGGGTAGACTTGCCTTGCTCCAAAAAGGAGGAGGCAACTGGGGGGAAGTTATATTCTAGAAAACAGGTCAGAAAAGCTAAAAATCTCATCTGACTAGCAGAGGATTCACTGAACTTAAAGCTGGTCCGGAGCAGTATCTCCTGGACAAATTCAACCCATATTAGATACTACAAAGAGAAGTTAATTTTTTTTTAGGGATGGGGAGGGGGGGGTCAGGATGCAGGGTAAGGGATGATTTTTTTTTCTGGGTGTAATCCAGGCATCTAAATTTCAGTGAGACAAAGAGGAAGCCAATCTCTTATTCTTGAACTCATTATAACTACACATTGATGTTTTTGAGCCTCAGTTTCCTTACTTGTAAGATAAAGGGATTGTACTAGATAATTCCTAAGGTCTCCTCTATGGACTGTCTCCAAAGCATAAAAACAAGCCATAATATTTTTTAGTTCTTGGGTTTCCTTCCCTGTGCCCTTTTTGGTCTTTCTGTGTGGGGATAGAATGGTTTCAAAGGTTTCATTGTCTTCTTGTGAAAAGGCCAGTTTCTTCCTCCTACTGTTTCTTTTTACCTACTTGCCTCCACATCTCATTTTTGCTATATTTTCCAGTGCCCAGCTCTTCAGTGAGGCAAGAATATTCCCAATTCCAGAGCTTAGGATGGGCATTGGGAGCTACAAACAATTAGTAGCAATTTTCCTTTGTTTTTCTGGGCAGAGATTGGGATACCTAGGGTGAGAGGATTCTCTTTAGCACTTGTGAGGCAGCAAAGGAAAGAAACTGAGTTCCATAAATGGAAGAGGCAGGGATGGGTAGGAAGAGGATCATTAGTGATAACTGCATTAGTTCTGACATTTTATGGAATTTAAGGTCAATTTATTGGTCTATTTGTTTTATGAGTTCAATGCCGTAGGTATTGGCTGCTGCAAAGTGGATTTTTAGAGGACAAGATTGAAGATAACCTGTTTTTTTCTCCTCCTCCCACTTC